CGGTGGCTCAAGCCTGTAATCACAGCACTGTGGGAGGCCGAGGCGGGTGGATCACGAGGTCAAGAGATCGAGACCATCCTGGTCGACATGGTGAAACCCCATCTCTACTAAAAATACAAAAAATTAGCTGGGCATGGTGGCGTGTGCCTGTAATCCCAGCGACTCAGGAGGCTGGGGCAGGAGAATTGCCTGAACCCGGGAGGCGGAGGTTGCGGTGAGCCGAGATCGCACTCCAGCCTGGGTAACAAGAGCGAAACTCCGTCTCAAAAAAAAAAAAAAAAAAAAGAATTAAAATAGAAAATGTTAGGAAATACATCAGGTAGTCTGTAAAGGACTACATAAATACTATGTTTCAATAATGGACTTACGTTTTTACTAATGCGAATGTTGACCATAATATTGTTTATACTATTTCATTGTGAGCCTTCACAAATACTTTAGTTAAATAAAAATCTACATATAACAAATGCATGAATAATTAAAACATTTTATTGGATTTTTATATCTGATCGCTAACCACAAGAGAGGAAGTTAATTTACAGCTTATGATGTTATCATATCATTTCTTTCATCTAGACAAAAAGAATCACTACTGTCATCTTAACAAATATTTACTGAGCACATACCAGAGACTGAATAAGTATTTTACTTCTCATGATCTCATTTATTGTTTTTGTTTTTTGAGATGGAGTTTCGCTCTTGTTGCCCAAGCTGGAGTGCAATGGCACGATCTCAGCTCACTGCAACCTCTGCTTCCTGGGTTCAAGTGATTCTCCTGCCTCGGCCTCCTGAGTAGCTAGCATTACAGGTACATGCCACCACACCTAGCTATTTTTTTTTTTTTGTATTTTTAGTAGAGAAGGGGTTTCACCACATTAGCAAGGCTGGTCTCGAACTCCCGACCTCAGGTGTCATGATCTCATTTAATTCTTCATTGTTATCTCCATTTTAGAGATGAAGAAACTAAAGCCCAAAGCATCTGAGTAACTTGACTAAGATCACATAACTGTTAAGTGAAAAAGACAAGTTTTTGGAAGTATGTGTGTTGTTCTTGGCATTATTTTATAGTACTTATGTAGAAATAAAACTTTCAAAACTCTTGAATGGCCTTCAATCAAGGTATTCAGCACAATAGAACATAGGCAAAATGTTAAAGTTAACAAGTGGGTGTGTGAGTGTCTGTGCATGTGTGTGGTGTAGTAGGCAGAAGGTGGGGAAGAACAGGCAGGAATGTATAAGAAAACGTAAGCTAAAGAAAATCACGGTAATGGATCACAACCGGTAGCTCTGCACTTCACACAGAGAAACACTTGCACAATTATTAACTGATTCATTTACCAAAAAGGACTGATAGCTTACTATGTGCAAAGACGACTGTTCACACTTTAGACAATGCAGAACACATAGTCACAGAACCTCCTTTTTAGACCTCACAAACTTCTGGATAAATTGTTAGATAATTACCTATATACTTAAATTATTTTATGTAAATAATTTACACTTGAACATCTTGCCTATGGCAGTATGCTTAAAAATTGGTTCTTATCCAAACTGTTCTTTTATATAACTGCTTAAAGAAAGGAATAAGGAAGAATGTCCAGCTTCAGGGAACATGACAAGAGGATTTGGAGCAGAGGAAGATGAGTTACTTAAATTGGTCTAGATATTGGGACGTGGGATCCTTTTATCTTCAGTAGAACTTTGAGCTCTTCACACACACACAAATCCAGTGTTCTGAAATCTAAATAAAGCCAGCTGGGCCTTGGATTGCCCCAGGTTCACATTAAGAGCCCAACTCTTCCATGAAGGACAAAGGAAACGAGAGACTGGATTTTCATCATAGATAACTTCAAAGTTTAGTCAATAACAAGTTATTTCGAAGCCCTTTAACAGAGGAAAGGTACCTAGTAGGCCAATCAGGAGAGAAAGGAAAAATCTACAGCTGATTTTATTTTGCATAGCACTTGTGCTACAAATCACAGCAAAAGAGAGTAGCCAGTGGTGGCAGAAGCAACCCCAAGCTGGAGGGCCCTGTTGTCAAAACTTATTTTCTTTGCCACTAAGGAAACGTGGCCTCGGCTTCCCTCTCAGAGTGGGCTGTATAGCTCTATCTCAGAAATCAGAAAGGGTCGTAGAATCAGGAGCCATGAAATTCACACCCCAACCCACCCAAGTAGCAGCTGTTGCCACAGACGGGTTATGCCGCCTCTCCATGTGAGTTTCTCCATTGGTAAAATGGGTTCACCCCCACCATGAACCATCTTCACAGCGTGACTAATCACTCAAGTGACATGAGGGATGGTTAAACACATTGAGAGGTGATCACATTCTCCAAAAATGAAGGAACAGATTACTTAAAATCTAAAGGTGAGAATACAGATGTCCACGCTCATCTACAGTTGACAACAAAAAAGAAACTAGTGAACGATGCACGTAAATGTGCAGATACACGCCTGGTCCATTTTGTACGGATCCCGAACTGCTCGACTAGTTTTCATGGTACTCACCAAGATATTTCCAACTCTTTTCTTTAGGATTGGCTGTCTATCCCCTTTATGTCTCCTATACTTCTGTTAAATTGATCACCCAGTGACCCTGGAGTTCAGAACATGAACTTACGCTTTAATATGTCCACTTGCTTGTTGGGCCATTTCCACCTCATGGAATGCCTGTCCTCTGCGTATCTGTGTGTGCAGATCTACTGAAATGCAGCCTCCTTTTAAAATGAAGTCTTCCTGCCGGGCGCGGTGGCTCACGCCTGTAATCCCAGCACTTTGGGAGGCCGAGGTGGGTGAATCACAAGTCAAGAGATCGAGACCATCCTGGTCAACATGGTGAAACCCCGTCTCTACTAAAAATACAAAAAATTAGCTGGGCATGGTGGCGCGTGCCTGTAATCCCAGCTACTCAGGAAGCTGAGGCAGGAGAATTGCCTGAACCCAGGAGGCAGAGGTTGCGGTGAGCCGAGATCGCGCCATTGCACTCCAGCCTGGGTAACAAGAGCGAAACTCCGTCCCAAAAAAAAAAGAAATCTTCCTTGATTTTCTCTGTTGCAAGTCATCTCAATGTTAGTCTGAGCAACACTTATCATTCTAAGAAAATTTATTTATTTATTTATTTATTTATTTTAGAGATAGGGTCTCACCCTGCCACCCAGGCTGGAGTGCAGTGGCATGATCATTGCTCACTGCAGCCCCAAACTCCTGGTCTCAAGTGATCTTCCCATTTCAGACTCCCAAGCAGGTGGGACTATAGGCATATGCCATCACACCTGGCTTTTATTTATTTTTATTTTTTTAGAGATAGGGTCTCACTATGTATCTCAGGCTGGTTTTGAACTCTTGGTCTCAAGCAATCCTCCCACCTCAGCCTCCCAAAGTGGAGATTTCAGGTATGAGTCACTGTGCCCATCTCCTTATCATTTTTATTTGTACCTCATGTTCTAATAATTTGTCTTCTCCTGGGTTTGTTGGTTCCTTGAGAACAAAGATTATGACTGATAGCTAATGGATGACATTCATCAAACACTTAACATGTGTGATCTCCTTTAACAATCAGCTAACTAAGGGTGTGGATGCTGGAATTTTTCAGTTTGTAAATGAGATAACGGAGGCCCAGAGAGGTTAAGAACGTTGCCTGAATTCACAGGTATTAGGTGATGAAGTCAAATTGGAAATCAGGGATTTTCAGTATAAACCATTAATTATTAACATCCATGCCTTTACGTATTGTAGCTGTTTGGCACAGGAAGTGCTTAATAAATGCTTCTTAATTGAGTGAATGAACAAATAGATGAATGAAGAAAGCGTGAATCTTCTAATACGAATGTTCTCACTCCATCTGCAGGACCTCACATACCCTAGTGATAGTGACTGCACAATGAACACTTGCTGAGTTAAATGACTGAAAGGATCTATGCTAGATCAGATGTCTAGGGGATGGCTGAGACAAGAGAGGCCACAAAGGTGAGTCATTCACTCATTTTTCAACAGATGTGAGTCCTGTTCTTTGGGGTCTTACATTTTGGGAAGATGAGAATTGACTGGTGTTTTTCAAGTTTAGGGAAGAGTAGATGTTCACAGAGAAAAGATTCTTCAACCTCAGGGAGTGATCAGCAGAATATTCAGAGGTAACCAGTAAGACAAGTCTAATTCCGAGCATGAATAAGCTTCTCCTTAAAGAGGAAATTGAACTGAAGATCACGAAGAATAACTAGATGACTCACCGATCAAAATAGGAAGTTCTCTCTGGTAAGGAAGACGGTGGCATTGAGGTGGCAAAAAACACAAAGATCCTCCTCAAACACTTACTACATAGTAGACTTCACTCTTGCTGCTTGGGCTACTGTCTCCAGATTGGAAGACCTACCCACTGACCAGGAGTTGATAGAGTTAGTGAAGCATTGTATTAAAAAAGACCCTGGGCCCTGGAGCCACCACCTTGCCCTAAACAAAGGCTCCCTCAAGTATCAGCCCTATGAACTTGGGCATTTGTAAAGTAGAGATAGTAACAGTTCCTTATGCACTTCGATATTATGAAGACTGAGAGATCATAGCTGTAAGTGCATAGAACAGTGCCTGGCTTGTAATAAGCACTCACTGTAGGTTAGCTATTTTTATTGTGCTTCTATTGCTGACTCTAATTGTTTGCATATTTGAACTGAAGAATCCTCAGTGAGTTTTAGAAAGAAGACAAGATGCTTATATTTCACTTGAGTATGAAATAAGAGTATAAATCATACATCTTACATCGCATAACAACTTTATTCACAAGATGACAGTTCTTTCATCAGTCCAAGGACTGGCTTCTCTAAACTGCCACATAATTGTCTTCTGCAGTGTAACTCCACATGGACCATTATGTTTTATGTTTATGGACTTTCACCCAAGACTTTAATAGCAGCAATAGAATGAATCTGCTAAAATCACACGTTTCATTTTCTTTTACTTTCGGACTGTTGGAACTATCAGAACCCATGATCGACTCTAACATGGAAAGTAGCTATTTCTTTATTAAGGCCAATGCTTATTTAATCCATTTTTTCTATTTAAAACATCAGTATATGTCTTTTTAAAATGTATACATGAAAGAAAACAACGTGTGCAAGAATTTATAACCAAATGCTGGACTTGGCATTACTGCAAAAAAACCCACAAGTTCCGACTTTGAATTTTGCAGATAGTCTTTACTACAAACATGTTCTAGTGTAAACAATTTTTAAAATTATGACTGATAAATATTTCAGAATGTTATTATTTATTTATTTAAACTTATATATCAAACATTGCTGCTTAACACCAGATGCTAGTTTTAATGTGCATTCATATTATTAATTTAATATATTAATAATATGCATTAAATATGAAGAATACACTAATAAATGCAGGAGTTACTTCCTAAATTGACTGATGAGCTAATTAAACTAATAGCCATGGAATTTTTTAAAAGTCTCAAGTTTTTTCCATACCAGCACGAGCCATATAAAACGTTTGGGCTTTGTTAGTGGATGGGCCACAGAATGGTCATGAGAGATATAGAGAAGATGGTAGATATGGTGAAAAACAGCACAGATTTTGAGGCCAGAGACTGGGCTCTAAATCTTATCTCTGCTATATTGGCTATCGGTCTTCTGGGCCTCAGTTTACTCACCTGGAAAACAAGCATAATAACACCAATCTTACAGAGCCATTGAGAAGATTAGCGCTAATAATGTATGTAAAGTGCCTAGATCACAGCAGACGGCTTAGTAACAAGCATCGGGAGATCATTTTGATTTATTTGCATGCAGATACAATCAGACAGTGTTTGCCAGTGTTTATTTGTTGTGTTTTGATCATTTAAAAGGTCTGTTAGCCATCCTCACTCAACAAGGTTGACACCTGCAGAGACTACAGGGGTTGACTCACTTTTTTATTCCACAAAACTTTCTATAGTTCTTGCTACAAGGTATGACAGAGAAATCATCACACCCTGTACATACATAACATATTATTGATAATAAAGAGTAAAGCACTCCACTAGGAGTTGGGAGATTTATTTTAGTTCTGGCGTCATCTCCAAAGAGCTCCGTGAACTTGGGTTAGTTGCTTCCATTTTCCAGGCCTCCGTTTTCTAGTTTTAAGATGAGAAAATCAGATTTCTTCTGGATAAATTTCAGTTCTAAAACTGTATTAGGAATTTAATTCTATGATTTGCTGACTTAGGGCATAGGTTCAAGACAAAAGAGAGGAGGAAAACCCATATGAATGACCAAGGACCTTGGACACAGTAACTGTCCATCTCATTTCCAAGTGTGTGATATCAGCCTGGTTTTTGCATGATTCCCTAAAAGACAAAATCGAAGTAGACCAGATCTAGCTCCTTTCTCTGTGACCAAGGAAAGATTCCCATATAATCCTTTATCATCAATACCTAAATTTGTAATTTATAAATATTTCTCCAGTCCTGTCAATAGATGTGCATTATGTACAGCATTTCATTCTGCTAAACAAGGACTTAAATATGAGTTGAGAATGGGGGCATATGCTGTGGTCATAGATCCTATTTGCATCACTGAGGTCCGCAGCCACATGTAGCCCCCAGATATCTCTGGTAAATGCTAGCTTGCTATGGTAAATTTCTTCCTACAATTGAACCAATACGTAAGTCCAAATTTAAACTGTTCGACTTCTAAATATAACCAGCCATGAAATGAGCCACCTTGGAAGGCAGAGAGTTCCTTGCCCTGGAGATAGATCTAAGAAAAATCTGGATAGATACTTTGGTAAGGGTGTTACATGTTGGAGATTCAGATATGGAGTAATCTAACAATTTTATGATTCTTTGGTGCTATTTGCTCTTACAGGACCAACTCTAGGAACGTGTGTAATGAGTTTTATTTTTGAACATATTAAAAACAACAAAAACAACAAGTTGTCCTGCCCTGTGGGCGAAGAGAGAGAAGCTAGGTCTGCACATGGACTAATTGAGTCTTTTAACACTAAAGACACCAATAGTCCAGGATTCTGAGCCATGGGATTCTGCATAATGCAATTTGATTAAATATAGATGGCAGCATTGCGAAAAGAAAAAGAAAGCTTAGTATAGGTAACTGACATGCCCAAACCTGAACCTGGCAAATAGGAGGGGCCAAGATTCCCTTACTGGTATTTGCTGTGGTTCCAGGCAATTACCTGCTGGTTCTCTTCTCCTTGGATCCTCTGCGAATCTGTGAACCCTGCTTATCTTGTGCCCAGTTCAGTGCTCACAGCTTAACGGATTGTTCTATAACTAGTCCAGACCTTCTCTTGGCATACCGCCTACTCCATGTCAGAAGTTAAAAGATTGCACTTCCTTAAAATGCAGTATTTTCTAACAGAACCTGCATCAGTCAACAGATTAGTGTAATTACGCATACACTGCTCAAGGCTCCACACTGGCTAATGATCGCTGGCTTTGTCTTATGCAAGGCAGGTCTTTCCTCGATCCAGCTAAGAAGAAACCACTTGAAAGGAGGTACACGGGTAGATTTCAAATACAACAAGAAGAACATCGCGTCCAATTGTCAGAGTCATACAAAAGGCAGCATTTGCATCATCTGTCCATACCTGGTAAGACCCATGAGTCTCAGTCTGAATGGTGGGATGTGGAGGGGGACGTGGGAGTTAAAGAATGGCCCAGTGAAGGAGTGACCGAAGAGGTTTTCTGCCCTAACTTTCACTTCTTGGGCTCCTTAAAAGGCTCTGTACCTCCTCATTTTCCTGATTTCTGTGATTTACCCTGGGTCTGTGCTGTTTTGCTGCCTGGATGAAGGAGTAGCACAGTCCAACACTGGTAGGCGTGATCGTTGGGTCTATGTACATAAAGAAGGGTTCAGAATTGGTACAGGACTCACCCTGGCTTCAGGCAGAACCTAAGACGGAGGTGGTGGGAAGAGGCCCATCCCTCGTGTACCTGAAAGGCCAGGCCCATGCTTGTAATTGCAAGGCAGAGAGCTAGCCTGGCTTGCTCCACTGCTCTCTCTCAGGAGCCACAAATGGGTGATAACACCACTAGGTGGAAAGCAGGGCTCACGTTTCTGCTCCTGCCTGCTCCTGTCTGGGATTGCTATGACCTTCTCTGTTGAAAGAAAACTATTTGGCTCTAAAGTAAAGTAAGTCTCATTAACCATCATCCTTTCAAAGAACACGATTGTACTGCTCTCTTTCTACCTTCTGTTCACTTGCTTCGTCTTTCTTTTTGTTGTTTCTGCTCTGGTGTATGTTTAAGTGGGGGATTTAAATGTTTGGTGTGTTCATCACAGAAGCCCAGACAGATCTTTGAAGCGGTTGGTGAAAAAAGGGAAGTGATACTACTGGGTGAGGGATGACATCAAAGAGAAGCCCATGTTCTGTTCCCTACAGCGTGGCTGGGAGTTTTTACTCCAAGAAAAGAATTAAACAACAAAGCTTCCCAGGAAAAGAGTGGCTTTCATTTTTTTTGCTCCTCCTGTCTTCTTTCCCCAATCCATTCAGATATATAAGCATCTGAAGACCTATTTTGTTTTAAGAGAAAGCCTAATGCAACTGAGCACTATACTATAATTATAATTAATGAAAATAATAATATTTAAATGTTTTATACCCATTCTGTTGACCTTTGAACAACATAGTAGTAATTACAAATGACAAATATGAATATTATCCCAGTGTTTCATGGAGGAAACCAGGACCAGAAAGTCAAATGCCTTGCTCAGGGTCATACACCTGGGCATCAATATACATGTATTTATATACTGACCTGATATTTACCATCAAAATATAGTCTCTACTTTTTTGACTTTAGGCTCAGCATGTTTTTATCTCTACCTTGCTGCCTCTTCCCACACATAATCTTTTAAGATTAAATCTTCAGATTCTAGAGTCAGGGCCATGGAGTTACTAAAAGGTCTAAAAAAAAGTGGGGCTTTGTAAAGGTCATATTCTCATCCTTACTCTGCACTGTGTCTGAGTATCAAGGAAAGGATTTTTTTTAAAGGCTGCTTTGAAAATTCATTGGCCCACAATTACTTGACTACTGCCGGTACTAAAATGTGTATATCAAAACTACACACTTTTATTTGATTTTTCTCGGCCCATTACTTGTCTTAGCTGAGTGGCCAGCTATGTGTAAGCCTGAATGGCAGGGAGGTGTTCTGGGAGCAATGACCCGTTACGAAGTTTCTGTTGAGATCCAGGGAGCAACTTTAGGTGAGCACATTTTTGTTAACATGCAGAAGGACAAGAGGTAGAGCTTATATCCAGCTCATCAATGCCAGCAGGGAGCTTTGCCGAGCAGTGTCTCCTCTTTGATCACCACCTGGATCACCTCTGGAATCCTGAGAAGGAAAGTGATTGGTGTTGATCAGAATGCTGCTGTGGGCAGGGTTTTGAGGAAAACTAACCAACTGAGTGTGCCTGCTGGTGGGAGAAATTTTCCAGTTCCTACAAATAAGGCCAAAATTACAGGACCTTTTCTCTCCTCTTTCCTCCTATTGATCATTATCAGCATCATAAAATCAACCATGGGTATGACTTTGGAGAGATGGAAGTATGGTGAAGAGGGAACACTCACCCAGGGGTGTGGAGTCCCAGGTTCTCTCCGTGCGCTTTGTGGTCTTGGACAACAGTTTGACGTTGTGCTCTTTAGTATTCCCGTTTATTAAATGATGAGTTGGAGAACATTGCCTTTGACACTTCCAGGCCTGTATTCTCTGATTCCCATCTACGTTGTCTCTCTCCCACAATTAATTTTATAATTACAAGTGCCTCTGATACATTATCTTGAGTTTTCTAGAGAGAGAAAAAAAGTGCAAGGCAGAGTAAGAAATAAATTAACAATAAGTATTAACAAATTATTTCTAGTTTGAATGTGTGTATTTATTTTTATTTTTACTATTTATTATTTATTTTTGAGAAGGAGTTTCACTCTTGTCACCCAGGTTGGAGTGTAATGGCTCTATCTCAGCTCACTGCAACCTTCACCTCCCAGGTTCAAGCAGTTCTCCTGCCTCAGCCTTCTGAGTAGCCGGGATTACAGGTGCACAACACCACATCCAGCTAATATTTGTAATTTTAGTAAAGACAGGGTTTCACCAT